TTGTTTGGAACATAGTCATTTGTCTTCTCACTTTGTTTGACTTTCTCTTTTTGTCTCTATGAAATTAGTTGAAACAGTTACCTATCCCAGTCTTAAAGGCATGTCCTTGTGTGGGAGCATCCCCATGCAGTCTGCATGTGCCCACTGGTTTTGGTGGGAGAGCTGGACCTGAAGCAAGCATTAACCATGTCTTCACCTGGGGTGCACTGGCAGCTGCCACCTTAGCAGGGCATGGGGCTGGAGTAGGAAGAGTTAGAACTGGAGCCAGGTGTGAGCTGGGGCTTCTCCCAGGCTTAGAGCAGGCCCAGAGCCAAAGGGGCTGGAGTTGCAAATCTGAGCTAGTGCCACTTCTCCCCAGTGTGACAGCAGTCTCCATTTTGGTCAGAGGCAGGGCTGGGACCCAAGGGGCTGGAGCTGCAAATGTGAGCTAGCTCAGCTTCTCCCTGGTGCAATGGTTGTTACTGCCTTGGTTGGGAACAGCACTAGAGCAGGTGGGGCTGGAGCAGGAGCCCAGTTCGGGCTGGGAGATGTGCTGGGGCACTCCTGGCGGGATGGACAGAGCATGAGGTGTTTTCAATCTGCTGCTTCTGCACTGGGACTGGGAGCAGGCGAGTCTGTGTACACTCTTCAAAACTGGAGTCTCAGTTTCTATGGCTCTATGATAAGCCCCACTGGTTTTCAAACCAAGTGGGCTTATCTTCCTTGTGCTTGACCTCAGGGCTAGGATGCCCAATATGGGGCTCAAACCCCTTGATCCTTAGGGAGGATGCCCAAGCCTGTGATATCCCCTCCTCTTCTGGGCCGCCCACTAGGGGTGTGGGTCCCGATTAGATCACTTCTCCTTCCTTCCTACCAGACTCCACTTTCCTTAATAACCTTGGTTGTAGAAGAGCCATTCTGCTAGTCTTCAGGCTGTTCTCAGAGAGAGCTGCTCTATATGTCGCTGTAGTCTTGATGTGTTTGTGGGGGGAGGTGAGCTCAGGGTCTACCTACTCCACCATCTTGATCCCACCCAAATACTGGAAAATTTAAACTTCTTCCTCTTTCCTAACACAGAATTAAAGGCCAAGTCCACATGAATTCACCCTTACCCTCTACATCCACCACTTTTCTTCCCCACTGCCCCAAGCTCAAGGTGCCCTTTGGAATCTAGGGCTTTGTAACAGACAAACATTTTACAGCATTTCTGTTGTTATTGTTTTTAAGACAAGAAACACCTGTTGAACACGATATGGGGGTAGTGGAAAGAGCATATTCTTTGGGATCAAAAAGATAATTTGGAATATTGGCTTGATTTATTAACTGAGTGACCTTGAATAGCTTACTTATTTCTCTGATCCTCAGTTTCTTTCTCTGTAAAAATACACTTAACAACTAAATAACAGGTTTGTTATAAGGACACTGGACCCTGAAGGAAGTATCACAGGTAATCACTATATGGTAGCCATTATGGTATTATTATTGTGTTTAATCCATACATACCTCATATGCTGTAGGTACTTCAGTATTAAATTTGGAGTAGACTGAAAATATAAATCATACTATATAGTCTTGTGTTTCTGAAATTTGTCAGGTTCTCCTGAACGTCTTTAGGTATAAACTAAATTTTCAGATCTTCAATCCATGCTTATTTGAATTTTAATGAAAGCAACAGTCTTTTTATTACTATTACTTTATATAAGTTAGGCCCAGCTGACATGCAGCAAGCATTTTTTTTTAACATCTTCATTGGAATTGTTTTACAATGGTGTCTTAGTTTCTACTTTATAAAAAAGTGAATCAGCTATACATCTACATATATACCCGTATCTCCTCCCTCTTGCGTCTCCCTCTCACCCTACCTATCCCACCCCTCTAGGTGGTCACAAAGCACTGAGCTGATCTCCCTGTGCTATGTGGCTGCTTCCCACTAGCTATCTATTTTACATTTGGTAGTGTATATAAGTCCATGCCACTCCCCCACTTGGTCCCAGCTTACACTTCCCCCTCCCCATGTCCTCGAGTCCATTCTTTATGTCTGCGTCTTTATTCCTGTCCTGCCCCTAGTTTCTTCAGAACATATATTTTTTTAGATTCCATATATATGCGGTAGCATATGGTGTTTGTTTTTCCCTTTTCGACTTACTTCACTCTGTATGACATATTCTAGGTCCATCCACCTCACTACAAATAACTCAATTTGCTTCTTTTCATGGCTGAGTAATATTCCATTGTATATATGTGCCACATCTTCTTTATCCATTCATCTGCCGATGGACACTTAGGTGGATTCCATGTCCTGGCTATTGTAAGTAGAGCTGCAATGAACATTGTGATACATAACTCTTTTTCAATTATGGTTTTCTCAGGGTATATGCCCAGTAGTGGGATTGCTGGGTCATATGGTAGTTCTATTTTTAGTTTTTTAAGGAACCTCCATACTGTTCTCCATAGTTGCTGTTATCAATTTACATTCCCACCAACAGTGCAAGAGGGTTCCGTTTTCTCCACACCCTCTCCAGCATTTATTGTTTGTAGGTTTTTTGATGATAGCCATCCTGACTGGTGTGAGGTGATACCTCACTGTAGTTTTGATTTGCATTTCTCTAATGATTAGTGATGTTGAGCATCCTTTCATGACTTTGTTGGCAATCTGTGTATCTTCTTTTTTTTTTGGATGTCCTAAACTGTTTATTAGGTAAGAATTTTACAAACATTACTTACATTAGTGGTAGCGGTGGAGCTGGAGAGTATTGTGCCTTCTCCAGGCTGCACGGCGAGAACCACCGATCACGTGGTGGAACTTGTGGCCCTTGCCGAGGCCGCGGCTCTTCCTGCCTGCAGACGTCAGCCCCCGCATCTCCCTGTGCTTGTGGACTGGTTTGGTGATCCACTGGGTGTCAGGGTTTCTTCTGATAGTTCAGCAACAGACTGAAGGCTCCAGGCAAACTTAAGCTGGTTGACGCCATGGTGGACGGGCTTGCCGTAGGTGGCGCCCTTCAAGACCGGGCGTTTGCGGCCACTGCGGTGCATGCGAATGAGATATATCACATAATCTTACGTGGCCTTGTAGCTCAGCCTGCGCGCCTTGTCAGGCTGGGTGGGGCGCGGGGCCCGGTGGAGCACTGAGAGCTGGCAGTACTGCCAGCAGCGCACCCTGAGCAGAAAGCACATCACGTCCGACTGCTTCTTCCTCCATAGCTCCTGGATGTACTTGTAAGCGCCCATCTCAGCTCACAGGAGACAGGAGGAGCTCCGAGGTTGCAGGGTCCCCAAGCCTGGATGGCAGAGATGAAAAGAGATCCATGGCGGATAGAACACTGTATATCTTCTTTGGAGAAATGTCTATTTAGGTCTTCTGCCCATTTTTGGATTGGGTTGTTTGTTTGTTTTTTGATATTTACCTGCATGAGCTGCTTGTAAATTTTGGAGATTAATCCTTTGTCAGTTGCTTCGTTTGCAGATATTTTCTCCCATTCTGAATGTTGTCTTTTCACCTTGTTTATAGTTTCCTTTGCTGTGCAAAAGCCTTTAAGTTTCATTAGATCCCATTTGTTTATTTTTGTTTTTATTTCCATTTCTCTAGGAGATGGGTCAAAAAGGATCTTGCTGTGATTTATGTCACAGAGTGTTCTGCCTTACATTTATAGTGTCTAGCCTTACATTTAGGTCTTTAATCCATTTTGAGTTCATTTTTGCCGCCACCAGGGAAGCTCTAATTTCATTCTTTTATATATAGCTGTCCACTTTTCCCAGCATCACTTTTTGAAGAGGCTGTCTTTTCTCCACTGTATATTCTTGCCTCCTTTATTAAAAATAAGGTGACCAGGTCTTCCCTGGTGGCGCAGTGGTTGAGAGTCCGCCTGCCGGTGCAGGGGACACGGGTTTGTGCCCCCGTCCGGGAAGATCCCACATGCTGTGGAGCGGCTAGGCCCGTGAGCCATGGCCGCTGAGCCTGCGTGTCTGGAGCCTGTGCTCCGCAATGGGAGAGGCCACAACAGTGAAAGGCCCGTGTACCGCAAAAAAAAGGTGACCATATGTGCGTGGGTTTATCTATGGGCTTTCTTTCCTGTTCCATTGATCTATCTTTCTGTTTTTGTGCCAGTACCATACTGTCTTGATTACTATAGTTTTTTAGTATAGTCTGTAGTCAGGGAGCCTGATTCCTCCAGCTCTGTTTTTCTTTCTCAGGATTGCTTTGGCTTCAGAGTCTTTTGTGTTTCCATATAAATTGTGAAATTTTTTGTTCTAGTTCTGTGAAAAATGCCACTGGTAGTTTGATAGGGATTGCATTGAATCTGTAGATTGCTTTGGGTAGTAGAGTCATTTTCACAATGTTGATTCTTCCAATCCAAGAACATGGTATATCTCTCCATCTGTTTGTATCATCTTTAATTTCTTTCATCAGTGTCTTATAGTTTTCTGCATAAGGTCATTTTTCTCCCTAGGTAGGTTTATTCCTAGGTATTTTATTATTTTTGTTGCAGTGGTAAGTGCAAGTGTTTCCTTAATTTCTCTTTCAGGGTTTTCATCATTAGTGTATAGGAATGCAAGAGATTTCTGTGCATTAATTTTGTATCCTGCTACTTTACCAGATTCATTGATTAGCTCTAGTAGTTTTCTGGTAGCATCTTTAGGATTCTCTATGTATAGTATCATGTCATCTGCAAACAGTGACAGCTGTACTTCTTCTTTTCCAATTTGGATTCCTTTTATTTCTTTTTCTTCTCTGATTGCTGTGGCTAAAACTTCCAAAACTATGTTGAATAACAGTGGTGAGAGTGGGTAACATTGTCTTGTTCCTGATCTTAGTGGAAATGGTTTCAGTTTTTCACCGTTGAGAACAATGTTGGCAGTGAGCATATTTAATTAAGCCAGAAAGTAGGTCCAGCTTCATCCCTCTTAACCAAGCAAAACTGTTCTTACTTCAAAAATTTAAAACTACCCAAACAGGTTTCTCAGCAATGTGTTCACCGTGGTATGAACCCAGCATTAGAGTTCTTATTGCACAATGCACTTACTTGTCCCACGTAATAAAAGTTGCTCTCTGTGTTGAGATGCCAAGACCGACAATTTGATTCATCTCTAGTCCTGCAGCTAAAAATAAAGATAGAAAAGATACATTTAAAAGCCCAGGAAGTTTTTCTTTATAATATTATCATATGGAAAAGAAATCATTTAATACAATCTTTAAGAAAAACAACTGGGTTTAGCATTTTAATAACACAATTGGAGCTAATAAATAAAGCATTACCAGGATGATTTTCTAGTATTTTTTTACTTAAAGGGAGAAAAGGTTATAATCTAATAATAATAAATTGGCCTTTTTGCTTTAAAGATTAGAAAAAAACAAACACTACTTAAAGTAAGTCAGATTGTATTTTTTTCTTGATAATACTGATACTAAAAAACTGGATCTTAATTTAAGCAAAGATCAGCCACAATAGAAGCTGGTTGATGGCAACAAGAGAAAGTATAGATACTGAAGCACAGATCTTATTTTCCACACAAACAGATGCTAGAATGCAAATAAAAACTTGGATTTTTGGAAGGCTTAAAATATAGCAGCTCAAGTGTTTTCGTGATATTCTTTTAAAAAAGCAATTTATCCCACTGAGCAACATAGGGACAACTTCAGTTGGAGCACTGAGGAAGACACATCCCCCCCCTTTTTCAGTACTCCTAACCTAACCTGATCATAAGCAAATAATCTGACAACCTCCAAATGCAGGACAGTCTGTTTAAGTCTTCCATACTTTTGAAAACTCTTAGTGTCATGAAGAACATGATCTAGATTAAAGGAGACTAAACAGACTGACTGCTAAAGCCAATGCCTTATCTCTGGTTGGATTTTGGATTGAAAAAAAAAGTTATCCAAGACTGAGATAAAAAAAAAAAAAAGACTGAGATAAGAGGGGAATATTGAGGACCAAGTATTAGAAAATATCACTGGGTTAATGTTAAATTTCCTGTGTGATAACTGCATTGTGTTTCCATTTGAGAATACTCCTTATCTTTGGAGGTAATGATGAAGTATTTAGGGATGACAGGTCATTACATCACAACCAACTCTCACATTGGTCAGCCAAAAAGAAAAATAGTTTGTAGAGGATGGTAATGTAAACACTGTAAAACACATTTTAATCTAGGAGAAAGTACACAGCTGTTCAATGTAGTATTCCCTGAACTCTTTTTTATAGGTTTTTAAATACTTCAAACCAGAAAGGTGAGAAGGAGAAGCAATTCAATCAGAAAAATGAAGTAAAAGACCTTTTCGAATTGACAAGTCCTCTTTCGCCATATTCTTAAAGAAGGTTGCACTGCAAATGTTCTTAACGAGCTAAGATTTCATACCCTGGCTGTGGCCAGGAGAGCACTTTGCATTAAGAGGCTGCTCAGGAAACAACAAAACAAAAACTTATTTTACAATAAAGGTAACTCAGTTGTAAACTCCTGAGAGCAGGAACTGTGTGTTGTAACTTTGTTTATAACCCTCTGGTATTTTAAACACAACAGGAAATCAAATCGGCACTAGCTACAACAGGGAACCAAGAGGGAAGGTGAGACTTTAACACTGTAGCTCAAAGAGTTAAAGCAGAGGACAGAGCTGCTGTTACCTTTCCTTGACAAAGTGGTTCAGTGTAAACCACAAGTGTTCCCCTCCCCAAACTACTGGGAAACTGTGACCCCAATAAAATACTGTATGTGTAACTTAGGAAACCCACAAAATTCTACAGATGCCTGAGGAAAACTCTTTATTACACACAAAACATTTTTACTGCCTATATTTACTTCTATAAATCCAAATACCTTTGACAGATTCTTTTATTACAGCAACAAACTGAAGCCAGAGAATGTCAGGATCAATTTCAACCCAGCCAGCTTGAGGATAAAGACTTTCTACCTATTTAGGAAAAGAGAAGATTTAGTATAAACAACATTAGATCAAGTCAATAGCATCTGGGTCATAAGGTTACTGGTTAAAATAATTTAAAACAAGATTTTATTTATTACCTAATTCATTTTTATTGTTAACGTGGAAAAATACATATATAGGGACTTCCCTGGTAAGTTGGTGATTAAGAATCCGCCTGCCAATGCAGGGGACACGGGTTCGAGCCCTGGTCCGGGAAGATCCCATATGTTGCAGAGCAACTAAGCCCTTGTGCCACAACTACTGAAGCCCACGCACCTAGAGCCTGTGCTCCGCAACAAGAGAAGCCGCCACAATGAGAAGCCCGTGCACTGCAGCGAAGAGTAGCCCCTGCTCGCCACAACTAGAGAAAGCCCGTGCGCAGCAATGAAGACCCAATGCAGCCAAAAGTAAATAAATAAATTAATTTTAAAAAATACATATATGAAATAAAAAAGGATACACCAAAATAACAGTTTTCTTCAGTTCATAAGTTTACAGAAGATTTTAGCTTTATTTTATTTTCTAAGTTTACCTTTATTTTTCAGGTTTTCTACAATGAAGATGTGTTGTTTTTGTAATTAAAAAAAAGTCAAACTTAAAAAAAACCTTAAATTAGCAAATAAAGTATTGAGTTCTGGTTCAAGCTATGATGGAGTAAGCACACTCCACCACCTCTTTCCCACTGAATACAGATATAAAACCTGGACAGAATGCATGGAGCAGCTATCTGTGGACTGCAAAAAGTATGTGGTGGCAGGCAGACTGGGGAAGAAGGTAAGAATTAGAATACCACTGAACTGGTGGTGAGTTTCCCACTTTTCCTCTGGTACCCCCTGGCCTGGACTCAAGGCAGCCTGAAAACCAGAAGTGGGTATCAGGGTGCAGTGAAAACGCCTGTAGAGTTTTTGCTAACACTCAGAGGGAATGCGAGAAATCCCTCACTTTTGTTTTTTATCCCCCCGCCCCGCCTCCATACTTTTATATCCTGGCTATCCCATCGTGGTGGCTGCAGCAGTAACCACAAGCACCCAAAATACTGAGGGAGGTAAAACTTCCTCTCTAATCAGAGAAGCTGGGGGCCCAAGAGGGTAAGGTGAACACCCGATGGCTTTTTTCTCTCTGTGTGCTCCTGATGCCTAGCCTCAGATGTGGACATAGGAAGTGTCCAGCAGAATGGGATAATGAAGCTCCAGCTTCTGGCAAGAGGACCCAAAAGGGGGAGGTTCAGGGAACCAAAAATCCCAGGAAGATCTCAGAGAGGGAAGAGCTTGGGAAAGCGACTCCAGAAAGTTGTGGATGAATTCCTAGGCTCACCTGGAAGCTGCACATATATGAATATAATACCAGACAGCATAGCAATGATGTTAAAAGCAGAACTGAAAAAATAGACCACTGCCCAGGTCCCAGACTGACCTCTAGGTGGCACATACTACACAGGGCAGATCCAAATAGTACCTCCAAGATCTTAAAAGCAGAATTAACATTGAAACCAAAGTCCAAGGAAGGCTGCTCAGCATTTGTAGCCTGAACACAGCTGCATTAACTGCCTACTAAAAGAAAAATATCAACATTTGTCATAGACTTTATACAAGACCCAGAGTCTTATAACATGATAATCAAAATGCCCAGGATATAATCCAAAATTACAAGGTATATTAAGAATCAGAAAAATCTCAGCTCACATGGGAAAAGATAATAGATACCAATACCAACATAACACAGATATCTGATAAAGACTTTAAAGCAGCTATTATAAAAATGCTCCAAGAAGTAAGGGTGAATTCTTTTGAAACAAGATAAAAAGTCTCAGCAAAGAAATAAAAGACATGAAGAAAAACAAAATTTTAGTAATTCCCTGACAGTCCAGTGGTTAGGACTTGGCGCTTTCACTGCCAAGGCCCAGGTTCAATCCCTGGTTGACGAACTAAGATCCCACAAGCTGAGTGGCATGGCCAAAAAAAACAAAAGAAATTCTAACAATTTCAGGATTAAAAAATACAATTATTAGGGGAGTGGGGGAAATGGATACAAACTTTCAGTTATAAGATGAATAAGATCTAGAGACCTAATGTACACCATGGTGACTAGAGTTAATAATAATGTATTATACGCTTGAAATTTGCTAAGAGAGTAGTTCTCAAGTGTTCTCAACACCCACACACACAAACACACAAATGGTCACCATGTGAGATGATGAGTATCTCATCTGTATACTCATGATGAGTAATTAACATTAATTATGTTATTTAATTAACAATGTATACGTATACCAAAACATCAATTTATATACCTTAAATATATACAACTTTTATTTGGCAATCATACCTCAATAAAGCTGGAAAAAAATCAATTAAAAAAAGAAAAATATAATAATTAAAATAAAAAACATACTGGATGTGTTCAATAGTAGAATGGAGATAAGAAAAGAAAGTCAGTAAGCTTAAGGATAGATCAATAGAAATTCTCTAATCTGAACAACAGAAAGAAAAAAAATAATAAAGTCTCAGGGGTCTGTGGGACACTGTTTATGTCACCAGAGGTCCCAAAGAAGAAAAGAAAGAGTTCAGTGCAGAAAAAAATTACTTCAGGGAAGTAATACTGCAAAAAATTCCCAAGCTCAGTGAAAGATTTAAAATCTAAATATTTAAGAAGCTTAGAAAACTCCTACCAGGATAAGTCCAAAGCACTACACAGCCAGATCCAGCATAATTCAAATGCTGAAAACTGAAAACAAAACAAAACAAAATTGAAAGCAACCAGACAGATGACATACACAGAATAATGATTCGAATGACTGTGGACTTTCTCATCAGAACCATGAAGGCCCGGAGGAAGTGGCTCAACATTTTTAGAGTGCTAAAAGAATTTCCATCCACAATTCTACATCAAAATCCTAGGATTTTTAATAGATATAGATATGATGATCCTAAAATTTGTATGGAAAGGCAAAAGAACTAAAATAGCCAAAACAATGTTGAAAAAAATTGGAGGAATCACACTACGCAATTTCAAGACTTAGTATAAAGCCATAGTAATCAAAATAGTGTAATCATAAAAATAGCAAACAGATCAATGAAACAGAAGAGAATCCAGAAATAGACCCACATAAGTATGGCTAATTGATTTTTGACAAATATACAAGGCAATTCAATGGGGAAAAGACAGTTTTTTCAACAGAGTTGAAATAGACATCCATATGCAAAAAAATTAACCTCAACCTAAACCTCACGTCTTACACAAAAAACTAACTCAAAATGGATCATAGATCTAAATGTAAAACTGTAAAATGCTTAGAGGAAATCACAGCAGAAAATCTTTGTGACTTGGGGTTAGGTGAAGAGTTCTTAGACATGACACCAAAAGTACAATTCATGAACAAAAATACTCAAAAAATGAGCTTCATCAAAATTAAAAATGTTCGCTCTTCAAAAGATACTGTTAAGAAGATGAAAAGACCAAGTACAGACCGGTTGAAAATATCTGCTAATCGCGTATTCAACACAGGATTTATATCCAGAAGATATTCTTGTTTTTGTTTTTTTGTTTGTTTGTTTTGGGGTATGCAGGCCTCTCACTGCCGTGGCCTCTCCCATTGCGGAGCACAGGCTCCGGACGCGCAGGCTCAGTGGCCATGACTCACGGGCCCAGCCGCTCCGCGGCATGTGGGATCCTCCCAGACCGGGGCACGAACCCGTGTTCCCTGCATCGGCAGGCGGACTCTCAACCACTGCGCCACCAGGGAAGCCCCAGAAGATATTTTTAAAATCTCAAAACTCAACAGTAAGAAAACAACTCAATTAAAAAATGGCCAAAAGACCTGAACAGGCACTTTATCAAAGAAGATACACAGACAGAAAATATGCACACGGAAATATTCAGCATCATTAGCAATTAGGCAAATGCAAATCAAAACCACAAAGAGATATCACTACATCTATTAGGATGCCTAAAATAAAAATTACTAACAACATCAAGTGTTGGTAAAGAACACATAGAACTCATACATTGCTGGTGGGAATGCAAAATGGTAGAGGCACTCTGGAATTTGGCAATTTCTTGTTAGGTTAAATATTTACTTACTTACCATGTGACCCAACAATCCCACCCCTAGGTATTTAACCCAGAGAAATGAAAACTTACATTCACATTAAAATCTGTACCCAAATGTTTATAGCAGCTCTATCCAAAATCACCAGAAACTGGAAACAACCCAAATGTACTTCAACAGGTGAATGAATGTGGTACGTCCACATAATGGATTACTACTCAGAAATAAAAAAGAATGAACTATTGATACACACAATATGGATGAATCTCAAAGACATTATGCTGAAAAAAGCCCATCTCCAAAGGCTACTTACTGTATTATTCCACTTATATGACATTCTCAGAAAGACAAAAAACTATAGTCATGGGAAACAGATCAGTGGTTTTCAGAGATTCGGTGTGGGAGGAGGGTCTGACTAAAAAGGGCTAGCACAAGGGAGTTTTCTGGGTTACTTCTACATATGTGCTAAAACTCACAAGGCTTATTCACCAAAAAAGTCAACTTTAGGGTTTCCCTGGTGGCGCAGTGGTTGAGAGTCCGCCTGCCGGTGCAGGGGACACGGGTTCGTGCCCCGGTCCGGGAAGATCCCACGTGCCGCCGAGCGGCTGGGCCCGTGAGCCATGGCCGCTGAGCCTGCGCGTCCGGAGCCTGTGCTCCGCAACGGGAGAGGCCACAACAGTGAGAGGCCCGCGTACCGCAAAAAAAAAAAAAACAAAAGTCAACTTTACCATACGTTAATTTAAAAAATACAATAAAAAGAATCTATGGCATCAAGTTAAAATGATGGCTTGAACATAAGCGTTTTATCTCCAATTCCTCTCAAGACTCCATTAAAATAAAAACATGAAAAAGATTCATGCAAGAAGAGAGCAAGGAAGCTCAGACCAGGTTTTAACAAACGTTTTTATTTTTTATTTTTTTTTTATGCGGTACACGGGCCTCTCACTATTGTGGCCTCTCCCGTTGCGGAGCACAGGCTCCGGACGCGCAGGCTCAGCGGCCATGGCTCACGGGCCCAGCTGCTCGGCGGCACGTGGGATCTTCCCGGACCGGGGCACGAACCCGTGTCCCCTGCACCGGCAGGCGGACTCTCAACCACTGCACCACCAGGGAAGCCCTTTAACGAAAGTTTTTAATACGATCAGTTAGTGGGTACACTAAGTCCCCTACACATGAACGAGTTCCGTTCTGAGAGTGCGTTGGTAAGTCCAATTTGCTTGAAAGTCCAACAAAGTTAGCCTAGGTATCCTACTAACACAATTGGCTATATAGCACTGTACTGTAATAGGTTTATAATACTTTTCACAGAAATAATACATGAAAAACAAACACAAAAAATAAAGAAAACATTTTTAACCTTACAGTACAGTACCTTGAAAAGTACAGTACAACAGTTGGCATACAGGGGCTGGCATCGAGTGAACAGGCAAGAAGAGTTACTGACTGGAGGAGGGAGAGGAGGTGAGAGATGGTAGAGATCAAGGATCGTCAGCGATAGGAGACAGAGGGCAAGCTGCAATTTCACTCAGGTTTCACGTTGATGGCACAGGTTCTGGTTCCTTGCTGGATTCAATTCTATCTAACCTCTTGAAAAAACGATCCAGTGATGTCTGGGTAGTAGCTCTTTTTTTCTCATCATAGGAGACACGGTAGCACTGGATTGCATTCTCAACGACAGCTGCAACCTTTGCGTACCGTTCTATGTTCGGGTCTTGTACCTCAAAAACTAACAGTGCCTCCTCAAAGAAAGAAAATCCCCTTGCCATTTCCTGCACTGTGAATCTCTTCAGTTCTTCAGCAGTAACAGCTACATAACCGCTGCTTTTACGCTTACTTCCGAAATAAAGAAGCAAGAAAAAAAGATACTGTACTACTTGGGCTTGTACAGTACTGTAAAGTACACAAAAGCACAACCACTTGTAGAGGATGTACACAAGTGACAATGTATGCCAGACACATGGACTAACTTATGTGACTGGACATGAGAACGCATGTTCACATCTTTGAAAGTTCGCAATTTGAAGGTTCGTATGTAGAGGACTTACTATACAGGGCTAAGCACAGGAGAGAAAACTGGGTACCTTACTAGCTGCTCAGATTATACAATCTCTCTTCAACCCCTGGCAGATTCTAGGATAGAACCCTGAAAATTAGAGGTACCTCAGAAGGCTGGGAGGCCAGATGGGGCTGAACAGAGGATTGATTCAGTCTTTCTTTTTTTTTTTTTTGCGGTACACGGGCCTCTCACTGTTGCGGCCTCTCCCGTTGCGGAGCACAGGCTCCGGACACGGAGGCCCAGCGGCCAGGGCTCACGGGCCCAGCCTCTCCGCGGCACGTGGGATCTTCCCGGACCAGGGCACGAACCCGTGTCCCCTGCATCGGCAGGCGGACTCTCAACCACTGCGCCACCAGGGAAGCCCTGATTCAGTCTTTCTAAAGACCCTCAGTTCTCCTTGTCCAGCCAGATCCACTGCCCCTCCCTAACCAGGCAGAAGGTGCGAGATTTACTCTCTGGAGGGGTTGAACCAGGGAAGTTCTTTACTTGCAAATACCAGATATAGCTGAGAAAAGTAAGACATAGTACTGAAAATATGAACAGATAACCAACCAAAGATCACCATTTAAGGAAAACCTCTAACACATAAGAAAAGGCCAAAATAAAGAGAAAAAAAAGGAACCGTGAGAAAACAGTGACAATGTGGGGAGCATGAGGGTGACATGGGGATGATATGAAAAAAGAATCTATTATTCCCCAGTGAACTCATTAGAAACAAACAGATTTAACAAAATCTATTCCCCTTCTATCAAACAACATTTCTGTTCTTTCCATGCCAATACTTTCATGACCAGAGACTGTAATGGCTCAACTGCAATAAACACTTCCTCACACCAAAAAACTCAACGTGGCCATCATCGCGTGAAGCCTACAAACCAGGGTCCCTGGCACTTCAGGGTCCCTTCCCCCGACTCCACCAACCCGGACAGCTCACCATCCCTAAACATGTCACAATAGTTTAGAAAACCAAACCAAAATTAGATCAAGAATATAATCAAAGTCAAGAAGAAAACGTGTTTTGTTGATTAAAAACAAAAGACAACAAGACAACAAACAGTGTTTTTCAAGAATGCCCAGAGGGTACACAGTATTGGAGAGTCCACTGTTTTCTTTGGAGTTGCCTTTCTGTCCTGTTCTTCCAACCAAGATGTTATCATCTTTTACGGTTTCTCACAATGGCATGAGGTTTCAATGGGGAACATGATGAGCCTTCTTCATTTTGAAAAACTAAAAATATCAAATATTCACATGTGGGATTTCTAACTGTGAATACTACTCTAGTACATAACGCCAATATTTAAGAGTCCATAGAAAGATTTTTTTTTTAAATACAACTTATAGAAAAAGGCTGAAAATGTACCTCTGCTATTAAAAAATGAGATAAGAGATAAAATTAAAGTCTTCTGAGAGACCTAGTACTAGCCTTCTAATGTAAAGGTTCCTGTTTGGGATTTCAATTTTAATTAAAAGACCAACAAAGCCTATTTTGTTCTTATCTCTAAAGGGTGATCTGTTCAGTTCTTCTTTCTCTCCTTTTTAAGCTATTTATTTAGCAATATCAATCAAATCCTATACTAAGACGTTTGGGTTTCTATTATATATTCTTTCCAACATAATTTAGCAGAGGTGTGATTTTCACTTGAGTAAATAAACACAAGTTCTGTGTCTAATCCATAGATTCCCATGAAGCAAACTGATTTCCTAATACTTTGATTAAATGCAATTCAGTTATTTATTCTGTACTCATGAAGTAATAAGCCTGGTGTTAAGAAGCAATGTAGACCAACAAGACCATTCTTCCCAAAGAACTCAAGCCATCTGAAGTAAAGGACCAGTTGTTGTTTGGTTTTTTTTCTGATTTGTAATTCATTGTGAACCAACAATTTTTAAGACACAATTAAAACAACTTTCTAGGAAAAAAGGGCATATAAAGTAAAATCCCAAATGTTTTATTATTGAGGTCAACTGACAAGGTGCTACACAGGTTTCTAAATCTTAGCTTTTCTCTCTCAACCCCAGCAGCTGGGAGCCACACTTTCAGAAGCACTGCTGTAAACTCCTATCACAGGTTGAGAGGCACTGCTTTCAACTCCTAATTTAAGACATAGCACTTCATCCTTTGAGGGCAAGGAATTTTTGTATTTTTATTTACTCACATACCTTTCCAGACACCTTCGCCACGGTTTTGAGTCTGACCAAACCATTCTAGTCTAATGCTGTTCACAGCAATCTTGATTCATCTTTGAGATTCTTACTTCATTTCTAAAAAAATAATGATTCCCCCCAAATTATATGGCAACTGTGAAACCTGATCTTTTAACAATTTCTGCATCCCTTCGGTTTCAAACACTTCAACTTCTTTGGAAAAAAAAAATCACTGCTTAAAACAAAAGTACTCTGTGTCTAGAATTGTAAGGGAGACTGTGTGTAAAGTATCATCGTGTTCTGATAAAGACTCATAAAAAGATAAGGAGGACATAGTCGCTGAAGGACAGAATCCGCCTTTCAGCTGTCCTTTCAGGTGGGTTTAGGGGTGGGGTGTGTGGGTGGTGGGCAGTGTTCCTGCAGAGGTGAACAGAAGAGGGACCAGGGAGCTGCTCTAGTCCCAGCTCCCGGTCCTGGTCCTGAAACCAGAATGAGGAAGTCCTGAAATCAAACGCTCAAAGCAGTCTTTTAGCTGGACCTGCTCCTGGGCAACCCCTGCGGCTGAAAAACACTTCTAAGGGGGTGGGAACCAAGCAAACGAGGGAGTCCAGTGCTGCTGGGAATGGGTTAGGTAACTAATAGTTCCTGTTCCCCCAACATCGCCAACATAAAAAGATGTTGGTATTGAAAAGAAGAGTAAATAAGAAACATCACATGGAATCAACATTATTTTTGGCATGCTGTCAACTGTGTAGAAATCAACACTTCATTAAAACGAGAACAGAAGAATACCAATCTGTTAGTTGCTTTACTAATAACAACTAATGACTTGATAGGTTTCTCAAACCAGAAAAAATGATACTTTCATGAATTGTCAAAGATGGAAATGAGAAAAGTAATGACAACACAGCCTTCAAAACTTGTCCAATACTTCTCATATCTCTGGGAATCAGCTGCTCAGCACTTTGAGAAGCAGTTAATGATGATAACTGAATTACGAACATAAACTTAAATTCCATCAAGATTTGAAAATCCTAAATGTAAATAGACAGGGTTGGACGCCTATCAACGAAGTACAGGAGAAACCAAGCAAGTCACAAAGCACCCTCTGACTGGATACGCGCAGCCAGCGTGCCCTGCCCTGCCCTGCCCCGGCAGTCACCGCAGTCCCACCCAGGTGAGGCCAGAAAGGCGAATCCTCAGGTGAGCGGAAGCGAGTGAGCGGCCCCAGGTCACAAACCGAGCCCCTGCTGTCTTCAGCCGGGACAGGAAGGGGTTTCAGCCCTGCCCGGGGAGGGAATGCGGAGACTTGGCCGGTCCCAGCACGCCGCTCAGGTCGGAGGGCCCGCGGTGCTGCAGGTGGCTGCGTCCAAGCCGCATGAGGAGGTCCCGCCCTCTCGCCCCCCCGCGACCCGATCCCGGGTGCCCCGCGCGACCCAGACCCGCTGCCCCGACGCCAGCTCCTCGGTCACCTTCTGAGCACTGGAGCCGCGGATCCGCGCCGCGCGGTCATAGACGTGGCAGCGAATCACCGAGCTGCCCACGTCCAGCCCCAGCACGAAGCCTGTGCGCCGCGGGTCCGGCGCGCTCTGCTCGGGGCGCGTCTGCTCTGCGACTGTGGGCGGCCCAGGCATCCCGACCCCCACGCCTCTCCGCACCTGCCTCTAGCCGAGCGGGCGCGCTCTAAACGCCAGTACCTCAGAGGCTGAGCGCTCCCCGCCGGGCCACCGCCCCCGGCCCGCCCCCTCCGCGAGATCCGGGAACGGCCCCGCCCCCGCCCCCGGCGCGGGCCCCGCCCCGACGCCGTGACGTCACGGCTGCGCAGGAGCCCTTTGCAGGAGAGAGCGGGGTCTCGGCGGCAGCGTGGGGCGCGTGGAGGCGAGCAGGAAGGTGGTGGGCCCCTGGAGCCCCGGGTCACCCGTGCCGTCCGGTTCTCCAAAACACCGGCAGCTCTCAGCGTTGCCCTGGCCCGTAATTTTCTTGATTTCCCTCCTAACTCCACGTACCCTGCGGCAGTGCCTGCATGTCTTTCAACCCAATTACGTATTATGAATCTCTATTAAAAAAAATAAAAAGAAAAGAAATTTAAAATTCCGCCGAAGGTATTCATTAATAAACTGAGGGTTCCCCCCGCCCAAGATTTCTCTCCTCAGAAAACCTGGTCAGGTTTGCACATATAATACATATCAAAAAATACTTGCTAAATGAAATAAACACTCAAATGAGTTGAACATTCCCCAGCCCTCTGGTGGGGAAGAAGGGACAAAGCCAGGGGTGGCTGTTTTTACCATCAAGCTCCACCCCAACGACTGCCTTTTCAGGAACATTAAAATCCCTCCTAGGGCCCTTTACCTTTCACTCCTGCCCAAAGAGCGTGGGCTCTTCCACGCAGGGGACAGAGAAGGAGGCCTGCGGAAATTTCGAGTTTCCTGCAGCACTGGTCACCAGCCTCGAGCCCAGGGGGATTCCCATGGGGTGGTCCTTATAGGCGGGGAGTGCGGAGGCGTTAATGCCTGCTTCAGCCACCTTTCCACCATCACCACACCAGCACTCCCAAAAAAACCAGTGTCTGAAAATATTCAATGTCTTCTTTTTGTAAAATTATGAAAGTAATATGGATAATGTGCTCTTTGTGAAGAAGTTTCACAGTGCAGAGTGGTATATCAATTAAAAAGTAAGGAAAAAAAAAAGTAAGGGATATTCATTTTGAGCCGAATCGTTCTTCTGAACAATTTGTCATGTTAACGCACTTGCTTTCAGCCCATTTGACCAATGGCCTTTGACCAATGGTTCTTTGGCCATATTACTTGAAACTTGGAACAAGCACCTGGAAGAGTATGGTTTTTGTTTCTGTGTTTAATCTTTGTCTTTGTACCCTGTTACTCTCTAATAGTACTCATTTGTTCCAAATGGTCCTAGGACTGCCTTCACCAGTGGTGACCATTTTGGTGAGTCATATATACTATGTTAATCCCCAGTATTGTAATTTTGAAATAAATGACTAATGAGTCACGTAGTCTGGCCAGGGTTCTCCAGAGAAAGAGAACCAATAGGATAGAGATTGAGATTTATTTTAAGGAATTGGCTCACATGCTCGTGAGGGCTGGCAAGTCCCAGAAATCTTTAGGGCAGGCTGGAAGTCTAGAAATTAAGATAAGAGTTGATGTTACAGTCTGAGTCTACATTCTGCTGGGCAGTAGGCTGGAAACGCAGGCAGGGTTCCTATGTTGCAATCTTAAGGAGAATTCGTCTTTGGGAAACCTCGATCTTTGCTCTTAAGGCCTTCAACTGATTGGATGCGGCCCACCAACATTGTGAAGGGTCATTTGCTTTACTCAAGGTCTATTGATTTAAATGTTAATCACATCTAAAAAATATCTCACAGAAGCATCTAGATTGGTGCTTGCCCAAACAACTGGGCACCTTTACAGTGTGCCCACTAGCTTAGTCAAGTTGACACATAAAATTAACCATCACAGGTCCCCTTTCACAAGAGAGAAAGCTGTTTTGTATTCCTGATATGAACATTTAGCATATTTCTCAAAGTAATAATTCTTGGGCTTCTTGGACACCTACAGTAACTTCTTTTGTGATTCTTTTTATACATCCGCATCAAGTGATCTTGAGCATTATCAAAGAATCATAGACTGTGAAAACAGGGAGCTTAGCAACCACTTAGTCTAGTGTTTCTTAATCTGTTTCTGATCTTGAACAACTTTGAGATCCTGATGACGCTATCTTCCCAAGAACATGCTTATATGCACAGTACTTGGCATGAGGTTTCAGGTGGGTGTGGGATAAACTAAACATGAACATCTCAGATTAAAAATCCAGAGTGAAGTCCCTAACCTGGACAGACTGTTGCCTAGGAGAGGCCTGGGGGAACAAAGGGATACTGTGTTTCCTCCTCCTTCATTGTTCTCTGCTAGCGCCTCTCACCCTGCTCCGCCCTCAGGGAGAGGAGCAAGTGGCTATGGGGCACAGAGCTCAGAAACTCTGAAAGTCCCTTTGCTAGCGGGTCGGTTCATTGTTCTTGATTCAGAGGCCACTGCTGCTGAGCTCCATCACCTGATGGCCTTGGTCTGCCTCTGGCTTAGCTGCTGCTTCCCCTCAGATTCTGGGCTTGGCCCAGAGGTGGCCACTGAGGCTTTCTCCCAGGCTCCTTCCCCACCACTGTCTCTCCTTACCCTTTCTCCTCTGGCAGCAGGCCCAGAATTACAACTTGCACCAGCCTCCCAGGCTCTTGAGAAACGTGGATGCGGTTACTCAGGGCTGGATCAGAAAGCGTGTGAGGCCAGCATTCCCTGGGACTCCCTGAAGGGAAATGGATGGCGCTTCAAGGCTGAGTCCAGGCACCTCACTCGATGCCCTCCTCCCTCCAAGGAAACACATCACTCTCCTTTCCCCCTAGGGTGACCAACCGTCCCTATGTACCAGGGACTGAGGAATTTCTTGAAACACAGGAGTTTCGATGCTGAAACCAGAACAGTCCTTTCTCACCACTCAGAGACTCTTGGAGTCCACAGGTGACTTCCTTTGGGATGCTGGCTACTTTATGTTTAGGTGTCAGACACTGCTTTTAGACAGTGAGCTCCCTGAGGACAGAAACAGGGCCTTAGTCATTTTTCCTCCAAGAGGCACAAAGTAACTGCTGAATGACTAAATGAACAAACAAGTTAATGTTTGCAAGTCCTTATCAGACCTTACCTTCTGCCTGACGTGGCCACAGGACACAGAGGGCAGTGAACCCTTCCTAACGTCTGCTTTCATCTGGGCTTGTCGTCATCTGACCACCGATGCAGCCCTTCTGATGTGGAAGGGAGGTCAGGCTGCCTGCTCTGAGCCTGGCGCCTGGAACATCAGGACTGAGCCCCAGATCCCCACGTGAGCGTCAAACCACATCCTTTCTCTTCACCCTTATTTCATGACCTCAGCCGAGCTTGAGGGTTGGACTCCCTCTTCGGCTTCCTGCTCTGTACCTCCACTCCTGACTGCATCTGCAGCCCTGGCCTCGACACGGGGGTAGACTTACTGTAGTATGTCTTCATGTCCCCTACTTTGCATGGGCCCCTACCGAGGCCCTGAGCAGAGCCCTAGCAAACTGTTCAGCATCCTGTGCTTTATGGCATTTGCAAAAGTGGATTCTTTCCGTATTATTTTCCTAAAGTGGGCCCTCCAAATTGTACAAGCTTCGATTCCCACAGGACCATAATCCTCCCACCAGGAGGGAAAGCGGGCAGGCGAGGGATAAATTGGGAGATTGGGATTGACATATACACACTACTATATATATAAAATAGATAACCAATAAGGACCTACTGTATAGCACAGGGAACTCTGCTCAGTGCTCTATAATGACCTATATGGGAAAAGAATCTTAAAAAAAGGGTGGATACATGTGTATGTATGAATGATTCACATTACTGTACACCTGAAACTAGCACAACATTGTAAATCGACTCTACTCCAATAAAAATTCAAAAAAACCCCAAAACCATAGCCCTCCCCACCTTTCTATAGTCCTCAAAGTCAGGAGGACTTCCTCTCTGGATCCCAGTGTGGTGGTCTGGAATGCTGTCAGCATGCGCTCTGAGTAACATAGTCCCCAATTCACCGTTCGGAACCCCCTGAATACTGTCATCAGCTGATGAAGTCTGTCCTCCCTACACAGTTCTGAGTAATCATGGTTATAAGCCCTGGCCGCCTCCATCCGGGCCAACTTAAGATCCAGACTCTGCCCATTTCTCACCATTGTTCTGCTGAGGTCCTTTCCAGAGCCACACCTGCCACACCTGCCCAGGTATTTGCTCATCTCCATGCCCTTCTGAGGCATCCAGTGTCAGAAACATGAGCTGGCTCGTTGCTCCGTGTCTTAACTTCTCCCCTCCTGAAGTGGATTAAGTGGCAGGAAATCTTTTCCTTCACTCACCTGTCTGTATACATTGTGGGAGGGGAAGAAGCCTTATGTGGCCAGGTTTCTCATGTTTGTGAACACCCAGAGGCTGGAAAGTTCATGGCTTAAAAGGAGCATCCTAGGGCTTCCCTGGTGGCGCAGTGGTTGAGAGTCCGCCTGCCGATGCAGGGGACACGTGTTCGTGCACCGGTCCAGGAAGATCCCACGTGCCGCGGAGCGGCTGGGCCCGTGAGCTACGGCCGCTGAGCCTGCGCGTCCGGAACCTGTGCTCTGCAACGGGAGAGGCCACAACGGTGAGAGGCCCGCGTACCACAAAAACAAAAAAAAACAAAAGCATTCTACCTCCCTCCTCATCCCAATCATCCTGTTTCACTTGTGGTCAGAAGCCTTTATCCAACTAGGGACATTATAAAGTCTCAAATGAATGAGTTCTGTGAGTTAAGATTTAAACCACATTCGAGAATGGCTGAAAACACTTTTGAATTCATGGATACAAATAAAACTTTGTTTTTTGAGGAAAAATTTTGAATTTTTGTATAAGGCAATTTTAAATCCAAAATAAAGAATGACACTGTGGAAGAAAATGTAGAAAAGTAGCTGTTACTAGATTTGAGGTAAGTTTTCAAAAATAAAGATTTCTGTCTCGGCCTTTTGGCTAAGAATAAGCCAGAATAAAGAAGGAAACATCTCCCTACATATTGCTTAGCCTCTGTTGGCATTATTTTTTCCCCAGATCCCACAGGATTCTTTTCTTGAAGTCATAGTTATTGAGATG